ATTATTTGTCACGATCCGTACACTTACGAAATTTCACGAACACAACTCTTCGTTGTTGACATTTAGCTGATGGGATGGTCTTTGTAAGGATATCTAGAATTTGCTCTTCAGACTTAACAATAATTGAGTTGAACTTCTTCATTTTTAGTTGTTTTTCTAATAAAGTGATACTTGATTGCAATGTGTCTTATCCGACGACTATGAAGTCATGATATTTGTCATAGAAATGGCTGATTTGTACACGAAACAATTTCATTGGGAAGATATTGCTTGAACGGTAATGTGTTTTGGAGTTGGGGTATTCATTATCGGGTCATTAACCAAGGTTATTTTAGTTAACCGGTGTAAAAATTGCCTATTGTAAATTCAATTTACTTTCAGGGGTATATATGCCCATTTTTTCTCAAAAGGCAATGAACGCAAAACATTCATTTTGCCCATTTTTCAAGGGAAAAAATATACACACACCACAATTTTTTTTTTTTTTAATAACTAGATTGCATTTTAATAATTTTTACACATTATCATATTTATTTCAATTTTTTTCGTCACTTTCTTATTCTCAAACTAACATGAATTGTTCCTCATTATAGTTTCTCTCCAATTTTTATTTTTTTTTTAAATAGGGTGAAAATACTCATTTGTCCATTGTATTTTTGAAAACTAATATTACTTGATATAATGGAGTTACATAATAATTTACACACATAATGGAGTTACAACTGATTTTTGAATACAGTAATGCTATTCATCCCCACTGTGGATGAAAACACAGTCTAAGTGGAGCTATGTGGCATTAAATGATATGTGAAATTAAATAAGTCATTTAATTTCACATTTCATTTCACCTATCATTTACAGCCACCTAAACTGTGTTTCCATCCCCACTGAGGATGAATAACATTACTCTTTTGAATTAGCAAAATACATAATACATTAAAAATACAATTAAATATTTGATCCTCATTTTAAAGCACATTAACAATATTTTTGGACGAAAATCATGATTAAAAATATTGTAATTTGATTCATGAAATGTTAAAAATAAGAATGTGATGTAACGCGAAACAAGAAATTCAAGCGAAAAACTTAAGAACTCGAATTTTCGAATCCACCAAATTGAGAAAAAATTAAACTCACGGATTTTATTAATGTAACATGATTAAAAAAAACGATGAATTAACATTTTATTTATAAAAGTTTACATGAAAACCTAGTTTACATTTAAATACATATGTGGATGTAATTTCCTCTATCTAGAACTTGCTCTTGGACTTACATTAACTGAGTTGAAGTTTTTTCATTTTTTGTTGCTTCTCTAATATGGTAGTACTTGATTGAAATGTGTCTGGTCCGACTATAACAGTATGATATTTGCTATAGAAATTATAGATTTGTTGTCGCGGAAAAACTAAATTTGGAAGATATTGTTCATATCGTGGAAATCTCTCTCTCTTCCTTCAACTACGAACACAAGGGGATATGTGTTTTGGAGTTGGGGTATTTATTATTGGGTAAATAAACAAGATTATTTTAGTTGAGTAATGCTATGTAGTCCTACTGGGATTACAATCTCAATCTAGGTGACGAGCACTGCTCATTTTAGTTAATCATTGTAAAACTTGCCTACTGTAAATTCAGTTTACTTTCAGGGGCATACGTGCCCATTTTCCTAATAAGGCCATGAATGCAAAACATTCATTTTTTGTCCATTACTGTTTTCGAGTAATGCTATTCAATCTCACGGGAGATGAAAACACAGTTTACGTGACGTCAATGTGACATTAAATGACATGTGACCTTTCATTTAACCATCATTTAAAGCTACATATAACACTATTCTTTTCAATCATTTCCCAGAATTTATTGTACAATATGTTGAAAACATACTCTAAAAAATAAAATATTGTTTCTTTAGTAATCATTGGTGGGGAAATTTTATCATC